TTGGGTTGGTCTGTGGATTTGCTGAAACTGAGCTTGGTGGTTGATGTTTCAATGGGTTTTTGGTGATTGTTTTGCTATAGTTTGGTTGTTCATAGTTTTGGCTAGTTTTTGCTGGTGATTCTGAAACTGATTTGCAGTTTATGGCTTGGTATTCTGTTTGATTGTTGTTCTTGTTGTTGCCTTTTTCTGTTTGAGAACTGCAAATTGTTTTGGTTGTTGTAGTTAAGCTATGCAGCTCTTTTAGTAGCAGGCTTGGTAGGCTTTACTGGTTGTGGTTGAGCTTGTACAAGTTGTTTTGGCAGCTTGGCAAGTTTTGGGGATTTTGTAGTTTGACAGGTTTTGAGCTTGTAGTTTTACAGGCTTGGAGTTTATGCAGATTTGGCTTGTTGAGTTTGTATGATTTTCTGCAGGTTTGTTAGGCTTACAGTTTTTTTTAGCAGGCTTGGGTTGATAGCAGTTTTGCTATGGTGTTTTGCAAGCTAGCAGTTTTGGTTGGTTTTTTGAGTTTGTTTAGACTTATGCAGGTTGGGAAGTAGGTTGGGAAGCTTTGTTGGTTGGCTTGCTGAGTTTGTGGTTTTGCAGTTTGGAACTGCAGGCTTGGCAAGCAGGTTGGGAAGCTTTGTTGGTTTGCTTGTTGAGTTTGTAGTTTGGGGTTTTGTTTAGTTTGTGGTTTTTTGCTGGATTGTGTTTTGTTATGCAGGTTTATGGTATTTTGAGCAAGCTTGTGGTTTTTTCACAAAGTGTTTTGTTCTCCTTTTGTTATGCAGTTTTGTTTTGTTTTATATCCTCTTTTCTCTTTGACTTGTGACAGCCTGCTCTTTTAGCCAAACTGTCAAACTTCACCCAAGGTGATATCTTTTCCTCTTTCTCTCTCCATGAAAGCATTTTTGCTTTGTTTATTATTATTTTCTGAAAAATTCCATCTGGAAAATGATGACAACTTTTGACAAGCTTTGACTTGTCAATAGGTTTTCCTCTGCTGTTTTACTTTTGCCTGCTGTATTTTCTGCTTTCATGCTGCATTGCTACATTTATCCAATTTGTCTTGTAACTCAGTTTTGGGCAATTTGTTTTGTAACTCCATTTGGGACTTTGCTTGCTGCATTGTATATTTGTTTGACATATGCTTTGGCAGTTTTGGCGCTTGTTTTCCCTTTTGATTTTTGTAACTCAGTTTGGTTTGGCTTCCATGTTTGGTTTGCTTAGTTTGACAGCTTGGTTTGCAATGCAGTACAATGGGCGCCTATGTTTGCCTTGTATGCTAGCATTTTTCAATTTGTATTTTTTAATTTTCTCTTTGTGAACCAAGAAGAGCAATCTTCTTGTGATTTGCAGAGAGAAAAATAAAGCGTGATGAAAAATAAGCATTCTGATTCCAGACGACCAATTTTAATGATGAATTTTCTTTCTTTTTTCATTTGAAAATTCTTCTGTACTAATCTCTTTTCTTTCTTCTTTTTCAAGTGAAAGCAACTTGGACGATAGAGGAAGCAGAGGAAGCAAAAGACCTTGGGCATGGGAGCAAATGGAGTTTAGGAGACTTAGGCTTAGAATTTTTTATTCATTGTAATAATTTATTCTTCAAATACTATAAGTTGTATAATATTCAAACAATAAACTATTTTTGTAACAATCATTTGCAATGAATAAAAAGTCTTTTATGAGATCAATTGATAAATCAATAAATCCTTCTACTGTCAATATCTTTCAATTCTTCCTTTGCATCTTCACTTTATTATTTAAGATTCTCAAATAAAAAATAATTGAAACTGTGTTTCAACAATTCTAATCCAGATAACTTAAATTCCAAATAATCAAAAAATTTGCAGTCTCGTAACCTTGCATCAGTATTCCAATCACAATACGCATTGTATAATAAACAAGCAAGAATTCCATTAACTGGCAAACATTTTATCCCATTAACAAGCAGATGTTTTAACAGACGCACATTATCTGGTTAATCAGGATTAGACAGCTTCAGCCCCTATCTCTTATCCCAGATAAACAAAACTTGAGGACAAACAACAATCTTTCAGTAGGCTTAAAAAGCGTGAAAACAATGTAACATGAAATTGAATTTCTATGGATTCAATTTCTTATGAGAAATGCGAGAGAAACCCTGATTCTTGATTTACTTCCAAAGAAAAGTCTGTTTGATCGATTCCTGAGCCAATCTTAAAAATCAGAGGAAACCCTAAGGTTGTGATTTCTTGTGAAAAAGGGAGGGCAAATTTTGGGGTACAACAAAGGGTTTTCTATTTTTCCGTCCAAAAATAGTTTTTGAGACAGTTTTCTATTTTTCTGTTAAAAAATAGTTCTTGAGAGGGTTTGCAATTTTTCCATCCAAAAGTAGCAATTTAGTAATTAATTTTTTATTGGGAGTTTATTTTATTTTATTTTTATCAGTTTTTGGAGATTTACTTTGGATATATTCCCAACAACTGACATCAGAGCAAAGGTTCCGGTCAAGGGAGGAAATCACATGTTTTCTATCATCTTATTTGATTTGAGTTTTATTTTCTTAAACAATATTATGGCTACATTGAAGTTGGATGTTTCTTTGTTTGATGGAAGAATGGATTTTCCTTTATGGAAATGCACGATACAAGAGTATTTGGTCCAAAAAGGTCTTGATTTTGCTTTGGAAAAGGCAAAACCAAGTGAGATGAAGGAATCCCATTGGAATTCAATAAAAAAAAGGCAGTGAGTACAATTTGGTTGGCACTTGCTTCATATATTAAAGTGACTGTGTTGAAAGAAACCTCTCCAAAGAAATTTTGGGATTTATTAGAAAGCAAGTGCATCAACCATATTAACTAATTGATTGATGATTAAAATGAATTTATACTCATTGGAGATTAAAGATGAAGGTAATGTATTTAATTTGACAATATCAATAAATTTAATGAGTTGGTATCTAGAATTATGAATGCAGGGGAATATATTTATGATGAAAAGCAAGCGCTACTTTTGTTGGCTTCACTACCCAAATCTTACAAATCATTAGTGCAATAAATTTTCGCAAGGAAGAGCAAACTACAATTAGATGAAGTATTGAAATCATTGAAGGGGAGTCAACAAATGATGGGTATTGATCAATCTTCTGAAGAAAATCAGGTACTAGTTGTTTAAGGAGGACAAAGAAAGAAATATTGTGATCAATATGGTAGAAGTTTTCAACCAAGAGATATGAGTTATGTCAAGTGTCATTATTGTCAACAATTTGGTCACATGAAATCTTGATGCCGAGAATTTATAGAGGATGTGCGGAGCATAAGGAAGAAGACAAGAGAATTGAAAAGTACTCCTTCTGCAAATATGGTTAGTTATGAAAACGATCTTTTAGTTTGTGAGGATGAAGGTGACTATGAAGTGAAGAGATGTTAGACTTTGAATGAAGGGAGGATTTGTTGTGTTAAAGTGGGTACTCATCCAAGTTTCACAACGATTAATGTGAAGAAAAAAGGAGTAAGAGGTTATTATAAATATAGAGAGTTAATTTGAGTTAATATACCACAACAATTCTAGTCTTTGGGTGTATTGGAGATTTGGATAGTTGTGTGTCTAGAGATGATTTACAATTTTTCCGTACAAAATTGTGGTTGGAAGGATTTTCTAGTTTTTTGTTCAAAAATAGTTTTTGAGAGGATTTTCTATTTTTTCGTTCGAAAATAGTTGTTGAGAGGATTTTGCAATTTTTATTTATTAATTACCTAATGGAAATTTGCAGTTTATACTTGTGATGCTGAAGTGTGGCATTTGGGTAGAACAACTCAGGCTAACTCTTATGTTTTTTTCTCGCTCTTGTCCAATGTTCATGGTATCAAATTTCAATCCAGTCAATTTTTTTTCATGTTTTATTGGTTTGGGGTTGCTGTTGTTTTGCTGTTGTAGGGTAATGCTGCTGGCTTTTTTTTTTTGTCATTTCTTTCATTGGTTGTTTTGATATTATGAGTCATTTTAGTACGTCAAAAAAACTCTTAATTTTAGCCTAATATCACATTAATTATTTAATTTACTTATACATAAAACAACAAACAAACATACAATTAGGAAATTGGTCATCAGTCATCTTTTACCAACATGCATGATATGACAAGAATCTCTTAGTATTCCTTACATACAACATCATAATTAATATTCCTCTTACTATTTTTAACTTCTTAAAGGAAGTGACAAACAACTCTCATGAGGAAATGACTTTCCTCATACCATATGAAAGAATTCTTTCTAAATTTTCTCTAAGTTAGAGATAGCTAAGAATAATATTGAAGTTGAGTGGAGTGAGAAACTTGAATATGTGGAATAGTTAACAATGACTTTCTTTATCTCTGTTGTCTTTTTTTATTATCAATGAAATATTTCATTTATATTTTATTTCCCATTCTTGTTTATTGATAACAAAGATTTTGAGAATCACTAATTAACAAAGAAAAATATGGAATCTAGAAAGACATTCAGTGAGAAATCGTTAAAAAAACTTTACATACGGATACAATGATTCAAAACAAGATCCCTCGTAACTATATTACCTTCCAAAAAACCGATATAATAGTTAAATAAATAAATTAAACATGACGCTCCCATTATCTATACCCTTATTTTTTTATTGTTCGAGGTGTAAACTTCATTATAAAAAACGTTATTAATTGTAGTGATAATGGATGATATTAAGTTTATTTAATGTGAATGATTTCTAAGTAGTTTGGCTTCTAATATGTGTCGGTATCTCTTAGGGATTTTAATTACCTAATGAGAATTTGCAGTTTGTACATGTGATACTGAAGTTAAAGTTCATAAAATATTTTTACGTTAAAAAAACTCTTAATTTTAGCATACCACATTAATTATTTAATTTACTTATACATAAAACAACAAACAGAACATACAATTAGGAAATTGGTCATCAGTCATCACACACCAACATGCATGTTATAACTATTGCAGATTGGTAAGGTTGATCAACCTTTATTATACATGTCTAGATAGCTCATCTCCCTTCACATGGTGGCTTTTGAAGTCTCCACAGGAACCCACAAAAGATGGTTTACAGGAAAAAAGTGACACACTGGAGTATTCTTCCCAGCCTTAATTCCAAGCTGCCTAAATACAATATGATCTGGGTTCCAATTAGATTTATCCAAATGACAAATGCCAAGAGCTTCCATCTTGTCTCCATTCTCATCACCAACAAGTGTGACTTTGAACACTTTAGTCCCTGTAGCTATGTAATGGCAATAGTGAATTGCATAGGGATATGGTAGGGGATGGCAAGCTACCCATTTAGGAGCATGAATGTCATGTGATACTTCCAAAATGGTGTACTTCTATAGAGGAGTAGCTGTAGGTGACGGCTTGCTGGTACTGAGAATACTTTTATGTTTGGTGTCTGAACCAATGATTGTGTTAACGAATACGAGCATTGACTCTAGATAATTGGCACATATCTTTGTCTCTCCTGTAATGCTTTCTCCTTCTCATTCTTCAAGTGTTCTTATCATCGATTTGGCTTGAGTAGAATCTTCTGAGATTAAGAAGAGTTGTAGAACACTTGAGAGTTGTGACATTGAGAGAGGAATGGAGTCAGCCTCTTTTTTCGGTAGGTAAGGAGAAACCTCTTGGACTGGAAATTGGAGCGTCATTACATTTCCAACATAAATATCATCCAAATTGAAAAACCCTGTCTTGAAAGCTTCTGTGCGATCCATGTTGAGAGATGCCGACCGTTCTTGATCTTTTGAGTTTGGAGTTGTGAGAGTTTGCTTGGCTTCAAGGGAAGTTGGTCTGTATTGTGTGATGTAAGGTTGGTTGGCTTCATGTTTAATGTAGGATGTTATGTACGGTCCATTCAACTCATCAGTATGAGTCCTTTACCCGGTGATGTAATCTGGTTGATTCGCCTCATGTTTACCATAGGCCGTTCTGTAAGGGCCATTGGATTCGTGGGTATGAGTCCTATACCCAGTAATGTAATCTTCCTCTTTGACTTCATCTTTACCATAGAAAGTGTTAGGTCTTTTGGAATCATGGGTATGGGTCCTATACCCGGTAATGTAATCAGGTTGTTTGGTTTCATGGTTACCATTGTTAGAACAAAGTTTGAATCTACTACCCTAAGTTTAAGTTTTGATGATAACAAAATGAAAAGATATATTAATTATGTGATTCATGTAAGAACTATTTGCTACCTAAAATATTACCTTCTGTTTTGCAGAAACTCTGATAGGTATCAGCAAGAGTACACTTAATCTACATCAGAATATTGGTTATCAGCATCAGAAGTTGCTATATCAGAATACCAGAATCAGAAGAACAACTCACGCGTATGCTGAAGCTTGATGAACAGAACTGCGCTCAACACTCTGATAAAGACAACAACAGTTCATCAGCACTTAAGCAGAGTCAGAATGAGCCCAAGCCAGAACACGCTTTAAGTAGCAACGGTACTGTGCATTCAAAGAGAATTATTACCAACGACATCATTCCAGACAAGATCTGCTTAATAAGGAAAGTTTGTTATTGGCATTGAATCAAGATTATTGCTCCAACGTTTAACAATTTCAGTGCTATATAAACAAGACAATGAAGATTGAATTGGCTAATGCTCTACATCATATTACCGCCTAAAAACTATTCATCATCTTCTCATTTCTCAGTTTGCTAAAAAGCTCCATATTTCCTTACTCGATTACTTTTAGCAATCCAGTTTCAATAAGCTTAAGTTGTGTAATATCACAGTTGTGATAAACAGTTTTGTAGAAAACATTCACACACCTAGATTTCTCTTCTTTGTAAGAAATTGTTTCCTTGACAAACCGGGTTGTGGTTTGCATCAAGAAGGCTTTAGCAGTTGTTAAAGCAGTTTATAATATTCAGTTGAATATAGTGGATTAAGACCTCGTTGGAGAGAGGCGAAATCACCTTGACGGGTGGACTGGAGTAGTTTGAGATCAAACGAACCAGGATAAAAATATCGTGTTCATTGCATTGATTTTCAGTTTTACAATTCAACCCCCCTTCTTGTGTTTTTCACTTCTTCAATTGGCATCAGAGCGCCTGGTTCTGAGCTAAAACACTTAACCGTGTCAGTACAAGATCCAGCGTCAGAAAAACACAATGGCAGGAACTTATTCTCACACCAGCAATGACAACCATGAGGACAGAGACAGATTCAGCGGCAAACCTCCAGTCTTTGATGGAGAAAATTTTGATTACAGGAAAGACAGAATTGAAAGCTTCTTTCTGGCACATGATGCTGATCTGTGGGACATGGTGATAGATGGATACACGCACCCTGTGAATGCAAGCGGTCAGAAGATTGATAGGAAAACAATGTCTGATCAACAAAAGCGTGACTTCAAGAATCACCACAAGGCCAGAACCATCCTTCTCAGTGCCATCTCGTATGCTGAATATGAAAAGATCTCCAACAGAGACACAACAAAGAACATGTTTGACTCACTCAGAATGACGCATGAGGGCAACGTTCAGGTCAAAGAAACTAAAGCTCTGGCGCTCATTCAGAAGTATGAGGCATTCAAAATGGAAGAAAGTGAATCAATTGAAACAATGTTCTCAAGATTCCAGATTCTGGTAGCTGGTCTCAAGGTTCTGGACAAAGGCTACTCTACTTCTGATCACGTCAAGAAAATCATCAGAAGCTTACCAAAGCAGTGGAGGCCAATGGTTACAGCTCTGAAGCTAGCAAAAGATCTCAACAAAATTTCTCTGGAGGAACTTATCAGCTCCCTCAGAAGTCATGAGATAGAGCTAGAAGCTGATGAACCCCAGAAGCAAGGTAAGCCTTTAGCATTAAAATCTAACAAAAAATCTGAGTCTAAAGTTTTGCAGGCAGTTGAAGAAACATCTGATGGATCCTCATCAGAAGAAGACGAACTCTCCCTCCTCTCCAGAAGAGTGAATCAACTGTGGAAGCAGAGACAAAGAAATTTCAGGAATCCCAGAAGATCTGATCAGAACGAGTCTTCTTCCAGATATAGAAGGACAGATTCTTCCTCTGGATACAGAAGATCTGAAGGCTCCTCGGGAAGTAGAAAGCCAAACACCAAGGACATCATCTGCTATGAGTGCAATGAGCAAGGACACTACAAGAGTGACTGCCCAAAGCTTCAGAGAGAAAAGCCCAAAAAGAAGTTTGGAAGAGAAAAGAAGAAAAGTCTCATGGCCACATGGGATGACTCTGACTCGTCTGAAGCTGACTCAGAATCAGATGATGAGAGAGCAAACATAGCTCTCATGGCCAACATTTCAGAAGATAGTGAAGCTTCTGAATCAGACTCAGAATCAGATACTGAAGAGGTATTTCCTGACTTTGCAGTTAATTTTACCAAGGCTGAACTTACTGAAAGCCTTAATGAAATTCTGGAAAGGTATCAGCAGATTAAAGTTAAATTCAGAAACCTGAAAAGGAATCTTGAATTTGACTCTAATAAGACTGAGAGTCTTAAATTGGAGAATTCTGAGCTGAGAAATAAAATTTCAAAATTAGAAAATACTTTACAAAACTCTCAGAAGGAACCAATTTCTGAAACTCCCAGCAATGCTGATGAGATCATCAAGGAGTATGATCACAGTTTCTAGAAGTTCCTTGCTAAAAGCATAGATAGAAGCAAAATGGCTTCAATGATCTATGGAGTTAGCAGAAACGGCAGGAAGGGAATAAGATACCAAGGTAAGGTTCCTACACCAAAGAATGTCATGGATTTAACCATTAAACACACACCTCTGAATTCACATTTTGTGTATGGTCACACACATGATATTAAATACACTAGCAGTAAGTACTCTGTGAAACCAAAATTCAACCAGAGTTTTGGTAAATATAACAAATCAGGACCCAAGAAAATCTGGGTACCTAAGGATAAAATAATACATGTTGCAGATATCTTTAGCAGCAAATCAGAAACACCAGTCATGGTACCTGGACTCTGGCTGCTCGCGACACATGACGGGAATAAGGCATATGTTCCAAAGCCTGGAACTTAAGCCTGGAGGCCACGTTGGCTTTGGAGGCAATCAGAGGGGAAAGATCATTGGCTCTGGAACTGTAGGTAATGGAAATCTTCCCTCTATTAATAATGTTCTGCTAGTAGATGGATTAATGCATAATCTGTTATCCATAAGTCAATTAAGTGATAACGGTTATGATATAATCTTTAATCAAAAATCATGTAAAGCTGTTAGTCAGAAAGATGGGACTATCATGTTTAATGGAAAGAGGAAAAACAACATTTACAAAATCAAACTTTCTGAACTGAAAAGTCAGAATGTAAAGTGCCTTCTGTCTGTTAACAACGAGCAGTGGATCTGGCACAGAAGATTGGGGCATGTTAGTATGAGAAGAATATCTCAGATTAACAAACTGAATCTGGTCAGAGGACTTCCTAATTTGAAGTTCAATTCAGATGCTCTGTGTGAAGCATGTCATAAAAGCAAGTTTGCAAAACCTTCTTTTAAATCTAAAAATGTTGTTTCTACCTCTAAGCCATTAGAACTTCTGCACATTGACTTATTTGGACCAGTTAAAACTGCTTCAGTCAGTGGCAAGAAGTATGTGTTAGTAATTGTAGATGACTATAGCAGATGGACATGGGTAAAGTTCTTAAGACACAAGGACGAGTCACACTCTGTGTTTGTTACCTTCTGTAACCAAGTTCAGAATGAAAAGGATCTTAGAATCGTTAAAGTCAGAAGTGATCATGGTGGAGAGTTTGAAAACAAAGATTTTGAGTCATTCTTTAATGACAGAGGCATTCTGCATGATTTCTCTTGTCCTAGAATTCCCCAACAAAATGGAGTTGTAGAACGAAAGAACAGAACATTGCAAGAAATAGCCAGAACCATGATCAATGAGACAAACGTTGCTAAGATCTTCTGGGTAGAGGCAATAAACACAGCGTGCTACATTCAGAATAGAATCTCAATAAGACCTATTCTGGAAAAGACTCCATATGAATTGTGGAAGAACAGAAAGCCCAACTTTTCATATTTTCATCCATTTGGATGTACTTGTTTTATGTTAAATACACAAAATTATTTGAACAAGTTTGACTCTAAAGCACAGAAGTGTATTATGTTAGGATACTCTGAACGCTCAAGAGGGTACAGAGTATACAATACAGAAACACAGATTGTGGAAGAATCAATCAGTGTTCGTTTTGATGATAAGCTTGACTCTGAAAAGTCAAAGCAGAATGAAGTTTTTGCAGGTATGGAAATTGAATTTACAGGTTCTGAAGACAAGTCATCAGAAGCTCTCAACACAGACACTCCTTCAACGTCTGAAAGGAGCACTGCTAGCAATCCTACAACAGCTGCTGATCAACCTCAGAAGAGATTATCCAGAAGCAGCTTGGATCACCCAGAAGAAACAATCTTAGGAAGAAAGGAAGATCCAATCAGAACAAGAGCAAGCTTCAGAAACTCTGAAGAAACCCTCATGGGACTTGTGTCTCTGATTGAACCCTCTTCCATTGATGAAGCACTTCTGGACAACGACTGGATTCTGGCAATGCAAGAAGAGCTGAATCAATTCACCAGAAATGACGTATGGGATCTTGTTCCCAGACCAAAAGGATTCAACGTCATTGGAACAAGATGGGTGTTCAGAAACAAGATAAATGAATAAGGTGAAGTCATCAGAAACAAAGCACGACTGGTTGCACAAGGTTATAGTCAGCAAGAGGGGATAGACTATACAGAAACCTTTGCTCCAGTCGCCAAGTTAGAATCTATCAGACTTTTAATTTCATTTGCTGTTAATAGAGGCATCACTCTGTATCAGATGGTTGTCAAAAGTGCATTCTTAAATGGTTATATAGAAGAAGAGGTTTATGTGCACCAACCCCCTAGTTTTGAAAATACAAAACATCCATAACATGTTTTCAAACTAAAGAAGTCACTATATGGTCTGAAACAAGCTCCCAGAGCTTGGTATGAAAAACTAAGTAACTTTCTGTTAGAAAATGAATTCACCAGAGGGAAGGTGGACACTACCTTATTCTGTAAATCAGTTAAGAATGACATCTTAGTCTGTCAAATTTATGTTGATGATATTATTTTTGG